TTACTGCATTATTGTATGGCCTTCTGTAGCTAGTATGTGAGACAACTGATTACATTGACCAGATGGCCTAGCTTTATACAGAACAGTCCCGCCCCACTTATCATAAAATGTCCAGGCTGGAGGCCCAAATCTCCTGTTTTTATCTAAAAAAAAATAATTAAATTTCCCTTTTTTTTTAAACTTGTCATTTATTATTTGACCTACATCTATATATTTAATTCAACATATAGAAGCAGGGCTGCGAGGGTTGTGGCTGCTATTGTGAAATTTAAAATATGCTGCACCCTCACCACCTTTTTTTTTCTAGAAAAAAATGTATCAAGACTGTGAGATAGACAAGATACAAAGGTCACACAGCATGATACGATTTATTTTTAGTTTGTTTTAATATGTGTGTTATACATGTAGGTATGAAAATACACATGCCTAATAACAAACAATTATAGTGTTGCTAGTTGTGTGATTTAAACCTTGTCCATCTTTGTGCAGGACCCCAAGCTCTACCAATGCCCAGTCTACAAGAAACCCTGTAGGACTGATTTAACATTTATAACAACAATTTTAATGAGAACTTCTCAAAGTCCAGATCATTGGATTCTGCGAGGAGTGGCAGCTTTATGTGATATTAAATGATTAATGAGTCATTTATTTAAGCTGTTGTGTATTTTGAAGAGAATATTAACTATATATGTATATTTGTGGGGGAAAAAAAGGACATCAAGCCATAAAAATATATTTTTGTTTATTTTTGGTGGTGAGTTTTCTACATACTCTACACATTTGTTGATTGACATAGGAAAACTTTATATGAAACTTTTAAAACCTATTTCTGAATGTATAATTCACCTAACTTACTTTTCTGAATATATAACATATGTATAACATTACTAGCCTACTTAGTAATGTATAGGCTACTGAACATTTCTAAAAAATAAAAGTAACCTATTTCTTTGATAATAAATCACTTCATAAAGTAACGTTCGTGTTGCAAGCAGTTTTTGTTCAAAAAATGTTTGTATTTAAAAAAAAAACAAAAAAAAAACAAAAAAAAAAAACAAAAAAAAAAAAAAAAAAAAAAAAAAAAACATTCTTCAAGAAACGTCAACATTAGTCTGTTAACCACATTCCACTAAGGAAATCATACTATATTTTTTTAATTATGTCAATGATAACTTTTGTGGGGAAAAAAAAGGAAATTCATCAATTCATAAGAAGATGTTTCATTCGTTTGGTTGGTGAGTTGTCTACATAGTTAACACATCAATGCAGAAACGCATTTTCTAAGGTCTCCCGTTTATAGCACAAAATAATTTCAATAATAACAATAAGGCCGTAGCTTAATGAGGAAAGCAGTATTTCCCTTGTCTAGGCGCCCTAATTATCCCGAAAGTAAAAATCAGTCTTCACCGAGATTTGAACCCGGGACCTCCGGTTCGGAAGCCAAGCGAAAATAATGTTATGGGAGCGTTAAAATGGGGGAGGTTCGGCCAAATTATAATGTGAGCATTCGATGCGAAGGAAAAAAAAAAGCTATGTCCAAAAAAGCATCAAAAAGAGTTTTTAAATATTTCGATAAAGAAAATGTACAGCCGAAGAATATGCAGAGATTGTATGTGGGAGAAATTACGATGCGCAGGTGAAAAGCATACAAAAACAAAACGGGGTTCCAGAGAGAGAGAGAGAGAGAGAGAGAGAGCGGACAGTGAAATTTCATTACAATAATTCACGGGCTAAAAAAGTATGTTAGTTTGAAGCCTGGGACCAAATCTCAACTCAATTTTAGTAGTCCACCCCCACCTCCCGGATAAAGCCTAGCATTTTCCCAAGATTAACGCAATCTAACAGTGTTTTAAGGTTGTCTGTTCTAAAATATTTCCCTCTTATATCCTGGTATCTGGGGCAATCCAGAAGGATATGTTCTACAGTGAGGTAAAAGTCACAGTACTCACAGTGGGGGCTCCTCTCCCTTAAGCACAAAGGAGTGTGTGATGTAGGTGTGTACCAATCCTAGGTCTGGACATGGTCGTGCTTCCACGCCTTTAGTTGTAGACCGCCGTATGACATCCACTACAACCCGTCTTAGCTTGTTGTGGGTCCTGTTACTCTCGGTAGGTGGTAGAGGCTGTTACTCTAGGTATGTGGTAGAGGCTATACACTCTCAGGTTCGAGCAGGGAATTAGGATTCTTGACATCGCTTAATTTAGAGCTCTCATTTTATCTTCTCTGTCTGCGGTTTCCTATTCCTCTATGCCTACATGGGAGGGGACCCAGATGAAGGATGATATGACATCCGTATGTTCAGATGTTATTTGGTCGAAAAGCTTTAGGCTTTTATGTACCAATGGAATGTCCACTTCATCTGCCCTAATGCTTGCAATGCAGATATGAGGAATTTTCTCCTGTCTGATGCTTTTACAGTAAGTGCAAGTGAGATTACATGTAACTTGGCCGTAAAGATGGAGAATCCAACGAGGAGTCTATAGGAGATAGTTTTGTTCCTAAAAGAGCAGGCACATGCGACCTTATTATCTATCTTGGATCCGTAAGTGTAAATGGTGCCACAATCTCCGTAGCTCTCCTGCAGTTCCCTAAAGTAGTGTACTGCTTGGGTCTGTAGTTTCTTTTGTAACGTTATGAAGGGATGATGCATTTCATTTAGGTTTACTCCGAACATGCCAACAAGTACCAGTCCGTTACGTGAATTGCTAAAGAAAGATGTATTGTGGCAGAGGAATGCAGTGCAAGACAATACTTTCCAGCTAAAAAAAAAACACTTAGTGAAACTCCAGTTCTGCAATCGTAGTTTGCCCATCACTGGTATAGGACAAATATGGCAGAAAACAGTCGTTAAAAAAAAACATTTGTCACATTATAAGGACAAACGATGGAAAAACCTACAGACGAAATCAACGGTTTTTAAATAAGAGTTTCGATGACGACACTGAACAGCCAACTTTTAGAACAAACGAAACAGACAGTTATAGACCAACGTCTAGAGAACTTACTGTGCCAGTCAAGACAACCAGAAGTGGTCGAATTGTTAAAGTTCCAAGTAGATAGCAATTTTAAGAACTTTAAAAGGAAGGATGTGATAATCTATATATATAATTCTCTTCTTCCCTAAACAGGTCAAACAAGAAGTAAAGGAAAGATCGCTCTCTTATTTCTGCGGATAGTCACCCCACGAAAAAAAAACAAGAGGGAAGGAGGGGGGGGGGAGAACACGTTTTCACAGCTCGCTACGGATGGCTGCGTGCTGGACTGTCAAACCCTGCCCGCTCCCATCCCATGCGGGAGGTTTGGACTAGGAAGTAAACTAATGTCAACTCTGAAGGAACATCTGAAACATGTAAAACATTTTACAAACACTAAATAGCAGGGCCAGACTTAAGCATTGTGGGGCCCTATTCGAAACGGATTTCGCGTTTGGGTAGGGAAGCGGACAATAAGTGAAATTTAAGAGTTTGTATTAGAAAATAAATTCGTGCATTTTATTCATTCTTTACTACGTACAGAATTACTTTACGAGCCTTGCGTGTAGCAAAGTCATACAGTATATCATAATAATTCTGTTTCCCACATAGATTACCAAATGTTTCAATCTATCTTTGAGAATTGTTGACCTCAAGTAATTCTTCATTAGTTTAAGGCGCGAGAAGCTTCTTTCACCTGATTACACAATTACGGCTAATGCATAATGCCGTTTTTATTAATAACGCGTAGGATTGACGTTTTCCATATTGAATGATACCCCAAAATGACAATTTTTTCTATGTATTTCCGTACATTTTAAGGACTTTTTCGTATATTTTGCAATTTCGGGAGATTTCCAGGAGCTCTTGGAATGGTTTCATTTAATAATTTATACACCTTGAATTAGTGCGGGTTCCATGAAAGTGCATATCCTTCGGTCACATAGGTTGCAGTGACCTAAGACCGGCCCTGCAAAATAGCGGCGTATGCTATGCAGCCGGTCGACTAGTATGTTTATATTACGTCATTATTTGTTGTGAATGTTTTTGTGAGAAAGGATGTAACGTAATGCAATGATAAGTCTTCAATGTCTACTTTTAACAACACGAAAGTCTCTGTTAATTAATGGAACTCATTCACCAATCGTAAACAAACAACATTTAGCCACGTGATTCTCTATCTCTTCTATACAAATTACGAAATACACAGGCTATCACGTGACAGATTTTTTTCGTTGCTTTATCAATATTATCACGTGGCTAAATGTTGCTTTTTAACGATTGGTGAATGAGGTCCATTCTCAAGTCAAATTGTCGACAGTAATTTATTTCTCAATGAGACATTTTTATTTTTTTCTTCACCCTGCGCATTGTTATTTCTCCGACATAGACGTTTAACTCTATTTGGAAAGACCCGCTTTAAAACGCCCCCCCCCCCCAACCAAGCAATGTCTGACGTTTCTTAGACTTCTCAATATTTACTATGCCTTATGATGTCTGATAGGCCTACACTCTTTTTTTTAGCATCCTCCAATCGAGAAGACCCTTAACTACACATTTTTCAGCTTTTGAATCTGTCTAGCATCTATTGTTAGTTTTAACTTGTTTTTTTCCTATGCATCCTTTAATCATAAAAAAAGGACGATCTATATTTTTAATGCTATTAGGATTGTTTGTTTTCTTTTATTTAGAGCGCGTCTAAAAGGAAGCGGAAATGAAGACGGTATATTACAACTAAGTTGACTTGGGCCAAAAGAAACGATATATATGTTCATTTTGAGACCTTTTGTAGAAATATAAATAAATACAAAAGTTTGAAAGAAAGCTTGCGGTTTTTCGCGAATTGCGGTAGTCAAGTTGCGAATCTGTCAAAACTTGTTCTTAGTGAGCACCTAGGATGTAAAAGGAACCTGTTAACGAATTTGATGCAAATCCGTACTTGTCATCAATCAGTCAGCGAGTGGCGAGCAAGTAGGATATATTTGATAAAATGATTTTGTTTGGACAACTAATAAACAGAAAACCCAACAAGAGGAGAGTTGTATTTTTATTTTTCAAGTTCATATCATACATTTGATCAACTAGAGATTGATAGCATGAATGTGACTAGTGAGCAACATGACACACAACACAATTGTAAGAAGAAATCCAAATGTACATATGTATAAATGGTCTCAACATAGATATCACATTTGTAAATAGGTAGACAAATAGACAAGCATATATAAACATGAATAAACACAAATAAACCAGCAGTAGATTTCTTTTTTTCTTTTAAATAAAAATGAGGAATGTATTGCTGCATATTAAATGTTTTAAAATGAATCTTGAATGTATAGGTGAGCTAAGTTTCAGAAGGAGAATGCTTGAATTGTTGAATTGCCCTGAATTACAAGAGTTTCTATATAACTTTAAGTAAAACCTGAATTTATCATTGGTTTAACTCATTCAGAATTGAAAAAAAAAAAGAAATACTGAAACATTATAAATATAGTACAACTTGTCCACTAAATCAAAGGGCAACTGCTTTAGGAGGACCATCATGTTGTTTTGTCTTCTGTGTTAGTACAGACTTAAGATTGAATAAAAGATAACTACATTGTATGAGTGACTATCAGAACATATAAAGTATGATTTTGTTTTTAAAATATAAAGTGGTATTTGATATTTTTTGGCTCATATAAAGTGGAAGGTAATCAGAACAGTGTTGTTGTGTATAAGTCAATGCTTACTTTAAAACATGTTTAATTTATTGAAAAGAAGAAATGATTAGGTTAGAAAATATATTCATGAATTCCATCCAACTAACACATAGAAATAGGAATGGAGAACTGAAATAAAATATTTTATTGAAAACAAAAGATTGTAATAATCATTTTCATTAATTCTATACAGAGTTATTTCACTTTGTCATTAAAACCACTAAATAGAGTTCAACCAGTATTAAGAAAGGCTAAAAAAAATAATTTATGTACAAATTTATGAAATTGTAAAATTTCTCATAAGTACCAGCCTTATGTGATAATTCTTGAACTTCTGTGATGGTTCTAACTGAAGCTATTTGAAAGAAGTAATTAGCTTGATCAGTAAGTCAGATCAGTTCAAACTGAATCTATTTGAAAGAAGTAATTAGCTTGAACAGTAGGTCAGATCAATTCAAACTGAATCTATTTGAAAGAAGTAATTAGCTTGGACAGTAGGTCAGATCTGGTGCATATCTACCTTTCTTTATATAAAAATGTGTCACTCCACTCAACTTTGAAAGAAGTAATATATAGAACTGGTAACTGGTAAACATATATAGATCAACGCAGTCCCCAGACAAACTAGTCAATCCATTAATAATTGCTTTTATATTTGCTGTTTATGAATAGATTAGTATGCTGATCTAACAATGCTACCTTAAAGAAAGAAATGGATATAACTATTGTTTTGTTAATTTATACTTCATCATTTGTTGAGGGAATGTCGAAAAAAAAAAAAGGCTAAACAACGTAAAAACTAGTGTTTAAAAAAAAATTCAAATGTTCTAACATCAGTCACAACATTACTGGTATGCATGACAAAAGAACTAAGTAGTATTATTCTACTACTCCATGGGAAGCTAGTTCCATTAAAACATTATCTAAATATTTTGGATCAGGATATCCATGGCCAAAAGCATTACCATAAGACTCAGTTTTATGATGAATCTCATTCCATGTGAGTGTATTCTGTTCTCCAGTTGTAGTTGAAGTACCAATAGTGAATGTAAGCCTGCGACCAAATGCTTCTATCAGAAGCTTTAAAACCTGTGAAGAACAACAAGATTTTTTTATAGAGTATATTTTATTGAAATGGTCTAAAGGGGTACTTTAATTATTTTTTTTTTAACTACCATATTGAAAAGAAAATCAAACAGAAAAGTGAATTTATAATTTTTTTTTCAAGTGAAAGAAGATTCAAATTATAAGTAAATTTTTAAAAAAATATCTAGCTTTAAAAACATGACTGGAAAAAAATATTGTAAATAAGTATTGAACTACTACAATAATTTTCTAGTGTTTGTTATTGTCAGCAGTTGTTTCCAGTTAATTATGTCCAGACCTACCAAAAATCATCTAGGCTTGTTTATAAAAAATATATTTTTTAATAAGTCTGTTTTATCATAAAATAGAAAAAAGTATTATTATATCTAAACCCATTTTTAAAACTCAAAAAACCTTAATACTTATAGATCTATTTATAATATATTAGTATTAAATCGTCTATAGATACGAGAAAAAGGACTGTTAAGACCCGGCTGAAATGATAAGCAAGATATAAGAGACAAAGCTGTCTGGAACTTAGAGCTGTCCTCCTTTAAGTTACCAGAGAACTGGATTAAGGACCTGGAGTGACACTGGTAGTCAGTATTAAGGTTTGGGCAGGAAAGGATTGGTGGAACTAAGGACAAGACTCCTTGTGTAACTGGTAATTAACACATCATCTGATATTTAACTCCTTTAGTATTCCTTTCATTGAGTGCTTGCTACAAATTTATTACAATTGGTGTCAGAAGTGGGATTTAGGCAGCTCAACGGAAGGTAAGAATTAGAGATGGGAAACGAACCGAACTCGAACCTCACTTATGACCAAACCGAACCCGAACTTTCAAACTGCTCTGTACGAACCGAACGAACCCTCCTTATCTTAATCGAACTAATTTTGGAATTTGTATATCCTTTTTTAAAAATATTTTTGGATTAATAATAATTAAAAAATTACTTAAATATTTTATTTAAATTCTAATGATTCCATTATACTTTGAAAACTTGGGAAAGAGGGGGGGGGGGGTATTTTGAAAACTTTAATACATGCCGTATCTCTCCTGGCCTTGAATTTTCGCGGGCTGTTTGCAATATTGGTTTTGAGTCGAATAGGCGCCCTCTAATTAGATCTAGATCTAGACTCTAGTTCTTAGTAAGTAGAAAGTCAACATTAAAATATTGTCACTTTTATTTGAGATGGCTGTTAGTTGAGAGTATAATATTTCTCTGATTAGAGAGTGTAGAACCTTAAGTTCATTTGTGTTCTAGTTTAAAATACATTTTAATTATCTTCTATTTAGTGATTTATTTTTAGAAAATTGTGAAGCATTCCATATTGGAATATTATCAGTGGCATAGCAAGGGTGGGGGAGAAACGGAAAATCCCCGGGCCCCCACTTAAGGGGGCCCCAAATGAGTGTTTTTTACAATAAATATTCATTGTTACGCAAAATGCAGGGGCCCCCAAAGAGGTCAAGCCCCTCCTGGGCCCCCAAATGATGAAAAATTCCTAGCTACGCCCCTAAATATTTTTAACATTATTCTGTTTTGAATTATTGATCATCAGTATTTTTAATGCAGCATTTCTCAAACTTTGGGTCCTCCCCCATGGGTGGGGATGGCGAGTACCTGGAATTGGAGAATGGGGAGACGCAACTTCCTGACAAAAAGGGTTGTCATAGAGTGTGTGTGTGTTTCCTGGTGGCGGTAAGAAGATGTTAAGCGATTGATTAAAGTTTATACATTGAGGATGATGAGATTAGCATAATGCAAATGTGAAACGGCTGACAATCTTGAGACACAAAGAGTAAAGACGTTGTTTTGTGGTGACCTAGATTTTGTTTAAATATCACTATATTTCATCAATATTACATCTCTATTTCAAGTTAAATATGTGAATATTGTTATAACAGTTAGTCTATATTGAGTTGTTCAGATAAGAAATTTATTTTAAAGTTTATTAAGTAAAAATATAATAATAATGCTTGTCTTATAGAGTTGGAAGATTAGTGAGGAATGCAGTTTTTCCCATGGCTGCCCAGTCCCTGCTGTGACCTACATATTTTGCCACATCCAGAGCAAGCATAACCACTGTCCGCAGCTGGTCGATTTAATTTGTTTTTCGCGTCTGCGTTTGTTCTCGGCAGCAGATTTTCTTTTGGTCTCAAATGTGTATCCCGGCGGCCTTCGGGAATGAACTCCAACTGACTCGTTCTGAGGCCGCATGTAACCAGGTGCTCTCTTCTATGTCAGCTAAGCAAAGTTAACGCCTAAGCTGGTCTTTGAAGCGTTTCCACCTTTTAGCTCACAAAAAAAAAAAGACTGCCTTTGGCATACGTTCGTCTCCTTTATGGGATATGTGCCCTGCTCAGCGTAACTGTCGGACCATAAGAAGTCCCTCTATACTATCCTTACTGGTAAAAATATAAAACACCTTTATTGGTTCCATTGTACTAGCTGTTTGTAAGCGACAAACCAACGACCAACTAACAAAGAGAGGGGGAGTAAAAAAATTCATTAAAATTTTCAGTTAACTTATCTGAATATTAGTATAATTACATGTTTAAAAATTAAAATATATTAAGTAGGACATTTTATCTTCTAATAAGACCTTGTCAACTATAGACTGCTTTTGCACAATATGGGTCAAAACGATTTGAAGAAAACATTTTAAAACATCTCCGCTAGTGTGATTGTTCTGCATCAGTTCTGTCTCAGAGTAGTCGAATTTCTTCCGTATATTGCAATTTATTATAGTGACGACTTATGTGTGAAAAAAAATCCTCGATAGAGACGTCTTTACACGAAGAATATTTGTTTTAAAAGATCACACCCATTATGAAAGTAGGCCTACCCTTGCATAATTCTATTGGCCAGGTCTGCCTCTTTATTATTAGATTTAAGATGGCCCTCGACTTTTTTTTATTATGATGAATAGTACGTTCTTAAAGAAAGCACATCGATATTAGCCTTTAAAAAAATTCTCTCTTCTTACTAAGAGAAAAAGGTTAGAATACGCTTAGCGCCGAGTCAGCCCAGAATTAAACCACTTGCTGACTTGAGCGAAAACCTGCCGCATCTTCAATTCTATCTACATTAAGAAATTTTTTACAACCGAACCGAACCCGAACTATACTCGTCATCGAACTAAACCGAACTCGAACTTAAAACTGACCGAACCGAACCCGAACTTCAAAAGTTGGGTTCGATTCCCATCTCTAGTAAGAATGACAATGCTGAAGAGACTAGAGGAGCTAAGCAACTTACAGTTGAAGGAGGGCTCCAAACCAAAGAACTGAGGGTAGGCTGGGCCAAGAAAAAGTGTAGACATGTCTTTGGCAGGCTGTCACAGCATTATTAGAACCTCATTGTGACATTGTTAACGGACCTATATTTCTAGTGAACTATTTTTGGTACTTAGTTGAACATATTGATGCTGAAGTCATATCTTATTTTCTATGGGATTATATTGTGCTGTTATACTACTATTGGATGTTTTATTCTGTGTACCCAGTATGCAAAGCTAGAGAAGCACACCAGTGCATGGCTTATTTATATATGTTTATTGTAATAAACCTCATGTCTGTTTACATTGGATTTTGTAGAGTGCTTACTAGTTGTTTTGTCATTTATGTATAGTTAACAAACTATAGACTAAGCAAAGCTCTGCACACTGGCAAGCCTTTGATAATACATGCACGTGAACCCAGACAACATACGAAACAGGTACTACATTCAATGACCTGTATGTTACACAGACTCTGGTTGATGAAAGGGATGATCAGGAGACCTGCTTGTTTCAGGTTGATCCAGATATGAGCAAGATGCTGAACAAATAGGCATCATGCAGGATTCAATGAAGGAGAAGACAGAAGACAGATAAAATGTTGGAAAAGAACAACAAAGTATCCCTCAATCAAGACTGTGGCTGTTAGAACAATTGCAACAAAGGCGCTGTTAGTGTTAACGCTCTCTGTGATGACATGTCCTACCTGTCACAAATTGATACTGTGACCTCATTCTATTTCTTTCTAGAAATGGAGTCAGGTCAAAGAAGTCACAGGAATAAGATTGTGTTAATTATAACTAACCAATCAGAGAAAGAGGTCAGAAAAAAGTAGATATCAGTTCCTAGAAAGTCACAGCTAATAGTAATATTTAGAATAAAATTTTTTGGGATTCTAAAAAAGGACAATTTAAAAAAAGTATAAATTGTGGGAAAGTGAGTAAGTTGAAGTTCTTGGGTTGTAGCTGGTCCATAAGATTTTAGAGTATTTTGCATCTTTGAAACCAATTATTAGTGAAAGTAAAGATTAAGTTAAAAAAATAGGTAGGTGTTCAGTTGTGTCACTAGATTGAAGTGCTCAAATGTTGTGGATTTATTAGTTTAGTGATTTTGTAA